TAAGGGTGCGACCTATGGCAAGCTTGTCCATCATGGGGTTAACCAGCTGAAGTTTGACCGAAGCCTGCAGTCTGTTGCTGAGGAGCGAGCTGGGCGTCACTGTGGGGCTCTGAGAGTCCTGAATTCTTACTGGGTTGGTGAAGATTCCACATACAAATTTTTTTGAGGTTATCCTCATTGATCCATTCCATAAGGCTATCAGAAGGAATCCTGACACCCGGTGGATCACCAAACCAGTCCACGAGCACAGGCAGACGCGAGGGCTGACATCCGCAGGCCGCGAGAGCCGTGGCCTTGGGAAGGGCCACAAGTTCCACCACACTATTGGTGGTTCTCGCCGTGCAGCTTGGAGAAGGCGCAGTACTCTCCAGCTCCACTGTTACCGCTAATACGTGTCATGTTTGTAAAATTCTTACCTAATAAACAATTTAGGACAGTCAAAAAATATATATATATATATATTGTGTGTGTGCGTGTGTGTGTGTGCATGTGTGTGTAGAAAGGCATTCATTTTTCTGCAACCACAGAGGAAGATTTTCTCTATTTCTAATTATTTTTCCCAGTACTATTCTCAAGGTTAAAGCCCTGGAATTCCATTTGTCATCAGGGAAAAGAAAAACAACAGATGGAAGAAACTTCACCAAACAAGCTCCAGGAGAGAAAAAAGGTACATAAGAATTTTTAATACATGGAATGTAAGTTGAGAACATTTTTTAAATTCTGAAATTCACTTCACACTCATTTCTTTAAAAATATTTTATCTTATCTTTCATGTGTATTAGTTAAATGTATTTTACATTTACTGAAAAATCTGAGGCTCAGATAACCAAATACATCTCTTTAAGATGACAAACCCAGGGTGGGGCAGTGTTTAACCGGAACACAGAAATGACTGAAGGTCAAGCATGTCCGTCCTACCACATGGGACAGCCAGCCCCCACCACTCATTCACCGAAATACTCCCTGGACACCCAAAGGACACTGGCTGGTGTCTCTGTGAGTCGCAAGTGCATGTGGCTTTGCAGGTGGCTGCCTCACCTCACTGGCTCAGCTTTCCCCTTTTGGGGTTAGTTTCTCTCCCTTCAGGGGGCCTGAATCATTTCTGTCTTTTCAATACCAAGTCCGGTCTGCTGACAATGTTACAGAACGGACCCCGAGGTGTGAGGACACGATATACTATTACTGAATGGATACCACCCTCACCTTCTCCCAGGGGGTCCCCTGTACTAGGTTCGCCTTGCCGGCTGCCAAGGAATTATAGCTCTCAATGTCAGAGACTCGGGAAAAGGAAAGGAATTACTTATTCGAAAGTTATACAGACTTAGACTAATGACTCAGTGTTTTCATTGAGATCCCAAAGTCCCTTAGAATACTCACAAACGCACACAGTTCTTCCTCCCCGCCCGTGCTGGGGTACTTATCTCAGAAAAGAAATAGAAGTCCATGGTTCTGTTAGCGCACTCCCCTCCCCCACTATTCTTCCCAGTAATCCGTGCATCGGTGCTCCGCCGGCGGGCCTCCCTTGGTTTCCAGCACCATCAGCTGTGTTGTCACTGCAATCTCCAGTTCTCAATCCAAATCCAAGTGTCACCTTCTCCTGGCTCACCAGCAAGAGTCCTTTCCCCAGCATCTCTCCTGAATTCTTCCAAACTGCTAAGAGAGAGCTCTGCATAACTGCTACATCTTGCTTTCCAATCTTCCTAAGTTGCGTGGCAAAGGGAGCACCCAAAACCGCATGGGGCCCCCTTTCTTGCCAAAGCCACTTGGACTTTTTTTCATGGCTGCCCAGGCCTGAGTTTACATCCCAGCGCCAATCTTCCTCTGCATCCATTTCCAACTCCTCCCACAACTGCCTACACCAGCCAGCATTCACATATTTCTCCAGCTTTTCTGAGCTGCCATAGTAAGCCTGTGTGCCAGCTGGGACCCAGGGCTGGAGCTAATCATCTCCAGGTTCTCCTGGAGGCGCTGTCACCAGGAGGAGCTGCCACCCTGTTAAGTCAGGGGTCAAGTCACTCCCACCTCCCTGGCACAAAGCATGGCCACAGCTAATTAACAAATCCATGAAACCAGTTAAAAGTTATAGATATGTTAAACGACCATGCCTAAGGCTAGTTGCAAAACTGTTGCTGTGCAAAACAGCTCTCAATGGGCCCTGCTCCATGTGTTCCATCCCCCAGTTCACACTTGTGGGGGTGAGGACATCCTATATTTTTAATATTTCCTGGACACCCTGAGTTATGGGCCCCATTACAAGTCCCTTTTTGGGGAGCCCCCTGGCTGCACCCTATTACAACACCTGTGTCCCTCTAGGGAATGAGAAATGGGGTCCGGGTCAGTTAGGAACCTAGCCCCTATCAGGAAATCCCTCTCACACCCCCCTACAGATCTCCCTAAATTCCCAACCCGCCCCACATGCTGTCCTGCGGGAAGAGCCCACCAGCAGCCCCGCCCCCACAGCTGTGAGCATCTGCGTCTCCCCCACAGTCCTGGGACCCTAAACTCAGCGCGGACAGAACAGAACGCCAAAGCCCACCCACCGCCAAAGGCGGAGACTCAGGTCCGGACCCCAGGACCCCCTCTCCCCTCAACCCCACACTCACCATCTTGCAGCCCAGCTTCAGGATCTCTCTCCGTTCTCCCCGTAGTAACCCGACCGGTGACAGCAAGAGAGACGGGTACGTGAGGGCAAAGGTTGTAGCAGTGCCTGGGCGCCTGCCAGAGCTTTTTATCTGTGTGGCTGGATGCACATCACCGGATTGGACAGTGCTCCGGGCACGCCCATTCATTAGGGATTATGACTAGCCCGCCCCAGCACTCCTGATTGGACAGTTCCCCACCAACAGAACAGACCTTTTTCGGTTGGCCAGAACAGCAGCATCTGCGTTCCAGTAGAAGTAGCTCAGGGTCACCAGAGTGTGTTTAGGAGTCTTTCAGAGGCACCTACTGTGTCCAGACTCAGTTTCCCCATGGAGGGACACCCTCCATCCCGTCCAGAGAAAGTGGGCCACCCAGAACAGACTGGCTGAAACAGGAAGGCCTGAAGTCCTCCACAGGTCTGGAGTTGCCCTGGCACTGCGGTCACTCACAGATCTGTGCTTTTTAAGAACAGAGATATTGAGTGATGATGTCACCATGTGAAATGCAAAGTCTGGATAATTTTGATGTTTGGCCATTGACATTGTTGAGGCCTTGCCCATTATTTTCCACCCCACTTATTTACAAACAGAAGTGAGAAAATGTTTTATAGTTTGCAAAAGTAATTGTCCTCTATAAAAAGTAGTTCTTAGAGGATTAGCATGTATAGAAGAGGCTTCCCATTAAAAATATATTACTCATTTGATTTATAAAACATTGAAAATACAGCTAAAAATAAACAAAAATAAAATATAGCTAATATATTTTTCTTGGTTTTATTTTTTAAATGAATGTCTCCCTGGCTGGGTGGCTCAGTTGGTTGGAGTATCAGGTGCACCAGAGTTGTGGGTTCATCCCCGGTCTGGGGACATATGGGAGACAACCAATCAATGTTTCTTTCTCTCTCCCTTCCTCTCTCTCTAAAATTGATGGAAAAAATGTCCTCAGGTAAGGATAAAATACATTTTTAATATAAATAATATAAATTATATTTATATTTTTTAAATAAATAAAACCAGCCCTGGCTGGAGTGGCTCAGTGGATTGAGTGCTGGCCTGCAGACCAAAAGGTCACTCTTTTGGTTCCTGGTCAGGGCACATGCGTGGGTATGGGGCAGGCCCCCAGTTGGGGGCTTGCAAAATGTAGCCCATAGATGTTTCTCTCGCACATCGATGTTTCTCCCTACCTTCCTATCTTTCTCCCTACCTTCCCCTCTCTGTAAAAATAAACAAAATCTAAAAATATACAATAAACAAAATCAATAAACATACCCTTGAGTGAGGATTAAATATTTTTAATATTAAAAAATTTAAACATGGATCCTATTGGATCCCAGTGCAAAGAATCCAACAGCAGAGGGTTTAAAATTATGTAGACCATAAGAGAAATTGACCACTGCCTCTATGTTAAGGGTAATTGTTAGGTGTGATGATGGCATTGATTATGGTTACGTTAAGCAAATAGATACATTCCAAAATCTTAAAGGATAAAATGATATGCTGAAAACTGCTTCAAAATTATCCAGAGGGAACTGGATGTTGTAGAAAGACACCTGATGGCAAATTGTTGAAGGTCGGTAATGGATATTATAAAATTTCCTGAAATCACTCTACTTATATAAAGTTCAAATTTCCCCAAAATAAAACATTAAAAATAAACAGGGAACTACTTATGAAAGGGTTTTTAAAGTACATTCTCTATAATTATGCTGTATAGTGCAAGTTTGTTCCTAAAAGGGAATTCCGATGATGTAGGAGACTGTATTGTTTCATATTTTTCAATCCCCTGAAACAATCTAGCAATGTCTCATAGTAGTAAGATTGTAAATCTTCTCCCTTTCATTTTGCACCATGTGACTTGCTTAAGACAATGCTATGAGAGTGAATGCCATGAGAAAACCTGAAATGTGTTTGTACATTTGGCTTTCCTCTATACTTGGAGTGATCCATCATGAAGGACCTTCCCCAATGTGCTGCTGGTTAAACTTCAGCCCCAGAGTGGACATGCTTGGATCAGAGCCAGGTCAGCTCCAGAATGGACTTGAAGATCCATCACTTGGGTAACCTACCCAAGCCAATGGCCAAATCTGTGAGCATGAAAATGCTTATTGCAGCATGTAATAAACAAAATTGGGCTAATAGTTACTTTCACATTTACAATAAATTTAAAAGCCACACAGTTTGCAAGTTAACATCAGGCAAAACACGCCTTTTATTAAGGAGAAATGATCTGTGTGCTGGGGTTGTCTAGGTCAGAGAAGGAAGAGATTTTCTAAGACTGACAAAGGATCAACAGTTTCCATGCAGAAATGGTTAGTGGGTGCTTACATTTATTTTATGCAAACAAAATGATGCCAGTTCAAATATCTGGAAGCAAAGCTTTACTGAAATAATGATAGGAAGATTGAATAACTTTACATTGAAATGTAAATTGTGTTCACACCCTTGCCACAATAGCAGTTTCACTTCGCGTTCTACTGGAAAACTAACAAGATGGCATGGTCTGAACCTATGACATCGCAGACACTTTGGAAAGCCATTTTGGGGTCGTCTGTGCTTTCCCTTCAACATCAGTGATCACAATTTAAAGGATTACATCCTAGGACAATTATCATTCAGGAGTTCATCTGGCAGAACTACTACTGGTTAGAAAACTAGAGTGAAAAATACCAATATATTTGGAAAGAAATTTAGATGGCTCTGGAGAATGGGATGCGTCATGGGGAGACAACGGCCTTGTTCTAGATTGGGTCATACTGGAGAAGGGTTGGCCCTAACCCAGTTGAGGTGTCCTTACAAGACAGGCATGCGCACAGGGAGAAGAATGCCCCATGAAGGTTAGAGGTAAGCTGCTACCAGCCAATGAACTCCCAGAAGCTGGGACAGAGCTGGAACAGATGCTTCCACGGCACCTTCAGATGAGGCTGGTCCTGCCAACTGTGATTTTGGACTTCTGCCTACAGAACATCGAGACAAAATTTTCTGTTGTCCCAAGCCACCCAGCTGTGGTACCTTGTTAGAGCAGACCAAGGAAACAAATAGTATACAACTGATTTGAAGACACAATATTTCTAAGAAATATCTACAGATTTTCTTTGAAAATAAAACACACATTGTTTTTGATGACACATAAACATAACTAAATTTATGTGATGGAAATGCATCTAGTTCTGTGCAACAGAAATCTCCCAAAATCTAATATATGAGGAAGGTATTTGTTGTCACAAGGACAAGCTGGGTGAGCAACACATTTCAAAATGGAACAGATTAACAAAGTCCCAAGTGTTCTTTTATTTTGCTGCAACACTGTAGTTTTTGTGGTGAATGCAGGATCAGCCAGCCACTGAAAGTATTAAGAACACAGTGTTTGCTAATACAAATTGGACCATAGAAATGAAACTATGTTAACTTCCAGAGAAGAGGGTGAATCATAGCATTAGAGGTCAAGAACCATGAGTCTGAATTCACAGTCTAGAAGACACCTTACAGTTTCTAGAAAAATCCAGATTGGAATTATTTATCCACACAAGTGGGTCCTTGATTCAGAGCTTGTGGAGCTATCTGTGGAAACCTATACCTCTGAGAAATGTGGAAATCAAGAACTTGACGATTCCTTTGATATTCTTGATTACTAGGGAAAAGAAATCAGGGAAATGGGCTGCAATCTGGTATCCAGAAGTCCCTATGCATCTTTCCATCACACTTTAAAGTGGTTCCAAGTCCTGGCTGGCGTAGCTCAGTGGATTGAGTGTGGGTCTGCAAACCAGAGGATTGTGGTTTGATTCCCAGTCAGGGCACATGCCTGGGTTGTGGGCCAGTTCCCGGCAGGGGACACATGAGACGCAACCATGCATTAATATTTCTCTCCCTCTCTCCTTCCCTTCCCCTCTAAAAATAAATAAATAAAAACTTAAAATAAAAAATAAATAAAGTGGTTCCAAAAACTCAGTAATGGCTTCTTCAATTCTGCCTCCCAAGACTCATGTCAGGTTAGGCCACTGGTGAATTAGAACATGGAATCATAACGGGAAGGGATTCTGGGAGATGTTGTTTCCAACATTGTTGACATAGCACAATCCAAAAGAACCATCTGAAACTCACTATCTTGTGGTCTTAACTGTCTCTTGTGAATGCCTACCGTCCAATTCCTAATCACAAGCAAAATAAACAGCAATGAGAAAAAAATGCAAACAACAGCTCACATAATATTATAATTACAAAAACTATAATAAAAATAGAATAAGGCTCCTCTGGCCAAAAATAAAGACTCTGAATAAGGTAGAAAATATATGAAGGGTGATACCCAGTACTTGCCACATGAAGCCAGTAGGCAAAGTCCAACAAATACTAAAGTGTCATTGTTCCAAGAACAATTTAAAGAAGAAATTATAACTACTTACATATTGAAAATACACTTTTAATCATCTATGAGTCCACAAACTAAAGATAAAAGCCTTGTAGACTGAAATGTAAGGAAAAAAACACAACAGAAACTCTTAGCTATTGTGTTTACTGTAGCTAAGAGTACTTGGAGAGTTATTTTTTTCACATAAATGTTTATTTGCAGAAGAACCGAAAATACATGCCCTATGGGTCCAATTTAATGATGAGGTGCTCACAAAGGCAAAACCACATTTACGACTTTCACAGAATTTCTCTCCTGGTGCGAACGTTCTGAAGCGTCACGCACATACTCCTTTGCAGGAGGACTTCCTGCCTCAAATGTGCACTGTGTTTCTGCAGGGTGCGTCCTCATGTGTCTTCTGAAGGATGAGGAACAGCTAAAGGTTTTCCCGCACTGCTGACACTCGTAAGGTCTCTCTCCTGTGTGCATTCTCATATGTATCGGTAAAGAGGATGGCCACTTGAAGACCTTGCCGCATTCCTTACACTCGTAAGGTTTCTCTGCAGTGTGCGTTCTCACATGCTGCTGCAGAAGTTCGGGCCAGCTGAACGCCTTCCCACACTGCTTGCACTCATGGAGTTTCTCGGCAGTGTGCCTCCTCATGTGTTTTTGTAAGGAAATGTGGCAATAGAAAGCTTTGCCGCACAGTTTGCATTCATACGATTTGTCTTCAGGATGCATTCTCACATGTTCTCGATAGCAAGCAGGCAAGTCGAAGGCTTTTCCACACTGTTTACATTCATAGGGCTTCTCTCTAGTGTGCGTTCTCACATGTTTTCGTAAGGAAATGGGCCAGTTGAATGTTTTTGCACACTGAGTGCATTCGTAAGGCTTCTCTCCGGTGTGCACTCTCATGTGTCCTCGGAAGGATGAGGGATGGCTGAACGCTTTCCCACACTGGTTACACGCATAGGGTTTCTCTCCACCGTGAGTCCTTTCGTGTCTGCGGAATGACTGGGGGTAAACAAAGGTTTTCCCACACTGTTTGCACTCATAAGGTTTCTCTCCAGTGTGAATCCTTTCATGTCTTCTGAAGGACTGGAGATAGATGAAGGTTTTCCCACACTGTTTACAGTCATAGGGCTTCTCTCCCGTGTGCATTATCACGTGTCTTCGAAAAGCTGAGAAGTAACTGAAGGCCTCTCCACATTCCTCACACTTATGTGGTGTTTCTCCAGTGTGTGATATCATGTGTCTTCGAAAAGTTGAGGAGTAGCCGAAGACCTCCCCACACTTCTCACACTTATAGGGCTTCTCTCCTGTGTGCGTTATCATGTGTCTTCGAAAAGTTGAGGAATAGCTGAAGGCTTTCCCACACTCCTTACATTTATAGGGCTTCTCCCCAGTGTGCGTTCTCACGTGACTAGTGAGGCTGGAAACATCAATGAAGGCTTTCCCACACTGCTGGCATTCATAGGTTTTTTCTGCAGTATGGATCCTTACATGCCGATTGAGGGAAGAAGTACGAGGAAAGGTCTTCCCACATACCTTACACACGTAGGGCCTCTCCCCTTTGTGGGTTCTCACATGCGCCCTGAGGTGTGAATAGTAACTGTAGGCCCGCCCACACTCCTGACATTGATATGGTTTGTGTCCAGCGTGAATGGCAACGTGCCTCCCGACGGATGTATGGTGCCTGAAGACTTCCGCGTGTGCGCTGCACTCATACTGTCTTACTTCAGGAAGAGTTTTCTGATACAGATTAAGACTGGAAATCTCACTTAAGCCTTCCCCACACTGATCATTATTTTCACAGAGTCTCTCCACCACATGGTTTCTGTTAAAAAAATGAGAAACATGTTATAATAGTTTGACTCATAATGGGTTTCTTAATATTTATTAATATTAGAATTACGTTTTCACCAATCTCAGTGAATGTGCTGGCTTTCTATCCTGACTTGCTTTAAAGTGAAATGCACTGAATGGATTGAGCACAGCCATTCTGAAAACAGTGTTTCTTTAACAGACTTTTCTCCAAATTCTTTCCTACCGTTTCTAACACTCAACATCTGGGTCACATTTTTAAATTTTTTTTTAAGAGAGAGTAGGGAAGAAAAGGTGGAAGGGAGGGAGAAAAACATCCATGTGTGAGAGAAACATCAACTGGCTGCGCCCTGACTAGGGACCTTGTATGCACCCTGACTAGGGACCGAACCCAAGCCCAGGCATGTGCCCTGATTGGGAATCAAATCAACTACCTTTCCCTTTGTAGGACAATGTGCAACCAATTGAGACACACCAGTTAGGGCCTAATGTCACATTTAAGAATTTTTTTTTTTTTGGTAAAAATCTGAGTAAATAAATTTGAGTGAGGCTTATATGGGTTGTGGTTTGTTTGCTTTTTGAATTTCACAACATACTAATATTGTTCTGGAATGCGACTCACCTCAGATAGCTCCCTGGGTTTGAGTGCAGATATTCAATACAAAATTCCTCCCAAATTTTTCCTAAGACGGAGACCCAAGAATTTCTGGAAAATTTTGTTATTTTATCTTCCTTGGATATTTTATTCCCATAAATATCCTGCTGAAAAACTGACCTATTGGCCTTAAATTGAGTCTCATCATCTGAAAACAGAAAGGGAACAAATCTTACAAGAATAAAGGTAACTGTTAGCCAAAAAAGACACTGAGAAGACACTCTGCTAGGGCGTCACCAGTAACAAGTACAAGGTCAAAATGGTAAGCAGTTTCATAAACAGTACAAATCTCACAATGTGACAAAAACAAACCTCACTGGGCCCCTAATGACCCACAACACCCATATCCACTGATGACAGTTCTTCACACACAAAGAACTGTGTATAAAACCTCAGTTTAATATACAGATTCTCATTCTCTATTAGATTCTAGCTCTATGACAGTTATGACAGTGTCTTTTTATTTAATGTATACCTTTTCCACATTCCATGTCTGGGAACAGTCTTGATATGCAAGAAATGCACATTCTCTAAAGTGAGAAGGAACTAAGTGAAGGAACAACGTCACTCTTACCCACTGAGGCCAGGTTTCTGAAGGTCTCCAGCATCACTTCTCTGTAGAGCTCCCTCTGAGCAGCATCCAGCAGAGCCCACTCTTCCAGGGTGAAGTCCACAGCCACATCCTCAAAGACCACTGGGTTCTGAAACATCCAGTGTATGCGGAGGAGGATGGGTGAGCAAGTAGCACTGAACAAGTAGGATCAACTCACAGGAAGTTCAAAGAAGATTCTGTGGTCACCTAACCATCCAGTCTATGACTACGACATCAGAACCTCTTATTCCATATCCACACTCACGACCTCATAGATTTAAAGCACCACTAACACAATGAACTTACCTCCACATTTTTACTGCAACCACATCAAGATGTTCCCTAACCAAAGGGCTCAGACATTAAAGAAATTAAAGGAATTGGTGGGGCCACTTTATGCCCCACCAATCCCTTGTGATACAATCAACTTCGGCTCCTTTCCACTGCCCACCACATCACTCAGTACTACATGGGGCCCAAGTCAAACCTGGATGAGCGGTTTTTATAAGGTTTTTTTTTTTTGAGACCTGACCAGTGTGGCTCAGTTGGTTGGGCATCGACCTGTAAATCAAAAGGTCACCAGTTCTATTCCCAATCAGGCTGCAGGTTTGGTCCCACACATACGAGAGACAATTAATCAATGGTTCTCTCTCACATCAGTGTTTCTGTCCCTCTCTTTCTCCCTCCCTTCCTCTTTCTCTAAAAATAAATAAAATCTTTTAAAGTTTTAAAAATAATTTTATTTTTCAATTACAGTTGACACAATATTAGTGTGAGGTGTATGACACAGTAACCAGACATTTACACAACTTGTGCACCGACCGCCCGGGTAGGTGCCCACCTGACAGCACACACAGTTACTACAATGGTATCGCCTGCACGCCCCGTGCTGACTTTACCTCCTGTGACCGTTCTGGAACTGCCAGTTTGTACTCCTTAATCTCGGCCCACTTCTGCCCAGGCTCCCCAACCCCCTTCCTATCTGGCAACTGTCAGTTTGTTCTCTGTGTCTGTCTTGTCTGTTTTGTTTGTTCACTTGCTTTATTTTTTTATATTCCACATATACATGAGATTGTATGGTATTTGTCTTTCTGTGTCGGACTTATTTTGCTTAGCATAATACCCTTTAGTTCCATCTATGTGGTCACAAATGGTAAGATTTCACTCTTTTTTTGGTTGAGTCACATTCAATTGTGTATGTGTGTACATAACATTGTTATCCACTGGTCTACCAATGGACACTTACATTGCTTCCCTATCTTGGCAATTGTAAGCAATGCTGCAATGAACAGATAGGTGCATATGTCTTTTTTAATTTCTCGCAACAGTATTCTTGCTGACCTTGAGGACAAGGTTAAGAGTGCCTTTTTGCCAAGGAGTTAACTGAAGTCAAAACCATCCAACAGTAAATCTGCCCTTGATTAAAAAAAAAAACACATAAAAGATTCGCCAGTGCCTTCCCACAAAGGAAGCCCTTCCTCATCTCAAATTCCAGGAGAAGGCTGCTTCCCCACAAACCAGCCAGGAGGCTGCGCTCTCAGTGCCTCTCATTCCCTCCCCCGCCCCACCGGGCCCCACGTGAACCACTGAGCTGCGTGCTTCCATTAGGCCCTAGTTTTTAAAAAAAGAATATCAACACTCTGACATCCACAAGCAGGGGACGGAGAAAATACTCAGTCAACTCTGCTGCCAGAACTTACCTATTCAACAGCATAATAGCAAAGTAGGACTATTCCTGCTGTTGGTATGGGGAATGACAGAAGGGCCCAAAGTCGGCTGAATTGATGTTGGGACAGTTATCTGTCATATTTCCTCCCATAAAGCTCCCTTGCCCATTGTGCAGAAGAAGAGTTGACACCTCAGGCCTGAACTTTTTATCTTTAGAAATGACTGAAGCATGACCAGTGTCATGAGAGGTATCACACCACCTGAACTGATATTTCTCCCAGTGTCTAAACTGACTGTGCAGACAACAGCACTGAGCACCTAATTTCCCACCAGGTGGCTGGTGTTGGAGACCAGCTAGGCATGTGATGCTCACATCGTCAGCTGTCAGTAAAATCCCTGGGCACTGGGCCTCTAACAAGCCTCCCTGGTAGACACTTCACATGTTGTTACAACTCCTTGCTGCGGGCACTCTGTCTGACTCCACTAGGAAAGGACTCAACAGCATGCCCCTGGTTTCCTGCAGCTTTCTCCCCATGTGCCTTTCCTCTTGCTGATTTGCCCATGTCTTTTTGTTGTAACAAATCATAGTAATGAACGCAACTATATGCTGAATCGTGAGAGTCCTGATAGCAGGGCCTGGGAGCAGTCTTTGAGACATTAGAAGTAGGTTTGCTGGAACGCCGTGACCCATCGAAACATGGCAAAAACACTGGGAAGAGGAAGGATGAAGAGGGAGGGGATGGGACATGGGACTCTGGTGCCTGGATGGCTATGGAGCTGCCCATGGTTTGAAAGGGTGGCTGAGCTGCTCTCTGGTGGGAGGTCAAGTTGACAGATCTGACTCCAGGAGGGCTGGCTACTGCATAGATGGGCTGCTTCTGGCCCTGCCAGCTACAGCTGACGGGAGGAAAACAACAACCACAAAAAAAACAAAGGCCATCCTAGTAGGGCCTTTGAGTTTTGTTCTCTCTTCTAGCAAAAAGAACAAAGAACCCCCAATTTCTCAAAGCTGAGCTTTGAATAGGCAAAAAGTGCTAAAAGTTTGCATTCATTAGGAGGGAAAAAAAGTTAAATCAGTCCTCAGGGGTGGAGCAAAACTTTAGATAAACCAAGGGGAGAGGGAAGCAGCCCTCGGCCAGCTGGGGCTGCAGTGGCCTCCTGACCCACCCTGGCGTTCTGGCCAGGGCCTCCCCGGCAGCTGTAATTTTATCCCTATAAACACTGAATTTGTAACTAGGGCCTTGATATGCATCCAACTGTCCCCACACAAGATATGTTTAAATACTAACCCCTGGCACCTGTGAGTATGGTTTTACTTGGAAATAGGATCTTCGCAGGTGTAATCACGTCACGATGGAGTCACTACAATGGGCCCAAACCTGACTGGTGTCCTTATCAGAAGAGGAACATGCCCTCATGTGGGCTTCCCAGAAGCCCAGGGAAAACGGCCACGTGAAGAGGGACGCAGAGACTGTGCTGCCACAGCAACAAACGCCGAGGCTGCCGGATGTGGTAATGGACAAGGAGGGCTCCCAGAGGCCTCGAGGGCCCTGAGGGAGCATGATCCTGTCAACACCTTGATCTCCAACCTCCAGCCTCCAGAACTGTGAGGGAACAAAATTTCAAGTCCCCACTGTGGCCACTTGTTATAGAGCCCTAGGAAACTAACACAGTGTATGACTGAATTGCAATGAGAATGAAGGGGGAGGAGACTTTTACTTGAAATGATTTTGATTTGTCATTCCTGCATCTGCATGTGTGACAAAAACGGAGGCAAGTGGTGTGGCCTTACAGTTCTATCGGCACTCGAAGGGCCATCCCAGTCCGTGCAAAGAAGAAAGTGTCAGTGCGACGCCACGTCCTTGCTTCTGCCACTGGTACGTGGGATGGAATTTAGCCTCTCAGTATTAGAAATAAGATTAGGTCTCCATAACTGATGGCTTTTTACTATGATTTTTACCTAGGTTAAAAAAAGAAGAAAACAAAGTAAAAAAAAACAAAACAAAACAATAAAAACAGGCTACATCTACATGGGAAGTCGATTTTTGGAATTACAAGTAAAAGTTTCCAGTTTGCTAAATAGTTCTTAAGAAGACCTATTTCTGATGACCTGTGTAGGCTGACGATTGTCCAGCAGTGGGTCAGTTTGGATTCTAAGACAAACAAAACAACAAGGGCTTAGGTCAGTCTCATCGGCCACTTGTACTTGGAACCCAGGTGTATGCCCTTGCAGCATCTCAGCTTTGCTACTGAGAAGAAAGACCGCAGTGTTTGATGGCATTCTGAATTCACACAGCCTGCATTCTGACCTCCTGGATTTGACCATGAGCTAAAACCCAAATGTCCACGATGGGCTGTTGCAGCCTCAGTACACCCTGTGCTGGCCTGAAAGCTGGGTTAAGCTCCAGGAACAGGACTTCGACTCTTGAATGTGGATGGTTCAGAGGAGCGCTCTGTGAGACCTCAAACTGTGAAAACCTCACAGATGCCAGTGGATCTGGTGGGGTCACTTACAGTTGTCCGTGACTAAGGCCCTGTTCTCCAATGGGACCATGTAAAATCAAGCTGGTCCCTTCACAGCTGGGAGCTTCCATGCTGACAGATCACCTCCAACATGTCCAACTGGTGAGGTGAACGAACTGGTGCCATGCCCTGGGGACCTGGCTGCCTGACCAATGCATCCTGCTTGGGGTGCCTGACTATTGCAAACTCTGTGTTTCCAGGGTGTTGGGAACTGCCCTGCCTGGTTTCCGGAGCTGTAACCCCCCTATGGCTAAGGTTGAGTGAGCAATCTTTGGTCCGTAAGCCACTAAGGAGACAAAGCTTATCTCCTTGGCAAGGGTACTGCCTCTGCTCCTTTTACTTCATCCTGCCTGGCCCCCAATGGTTGATTGGTTAGCCAATGATGTATAAGATTCCTCAAGGGAGGGACAACCTAAGACAGGCATGATCATGGGGGGGGCCCAGGGAAGGACTTGGGGGCGCTGTAGAAAAAGGGGGTGATGGACCCTCACCCCTCAGCTTTGACATAGTCAGAATCCTCATTCTGTCTGCAAGAAGTCTCCTGTTCTCTTGGCTGCCTTACTTCCCCTTGCTTGACTTAAGCCTGAAAAAATGCTGGAGGTGGGTACAGCCCTGTACTGGAAAGGGCGGGTTCCCTGGGGCAATCAGACCTAAGAAAGAATGCATAAAATCCTGTCAAGCCTGCTTTGCTAACACCCTCAACTTAAATGATAAGGGTCCAAGCCAGAAATGAGTTTGTTTCCCCAAAGTTTTATGGTCCTTTAACCATCTGATCCTGACTCAGAATAAGCCCTCAGAGTTCTTTGAATGTTATCTATTGTTTAATCATTTCTGCCTGACAATGATTGACGAACTTTATTCCTGTGTAAACTGAACCCAATAAAAGCCTGTCAAAGCAACGGTTGGGGCGCTCTCCTCTGGAGAAAGGAGCCATGCCATCCCTTTTCCTCCACCGGACTCGGTAGTCCGTGTGAATTTCTCGTATCTCATCCGTAACACTGAAGACCCCAGGAGCCGGGGTCCGAGTCACATGGGGCTGAGGGTGCCCACCTGGACTGTACTTCTCAGGTATGTGTCCTCACGGGACACCGTCATATCTGTGGATAAGGCACTCAAGTCAAATTCAACTTACTGGCCAGAGTTGTGCAGGGACTTAATACCCAGGGCCAGGTAAAAACAAACAAACAAACAAACAAACAAAATACAGGTATTTGAAGAAGACTGCCCCCCTCCCCTGCACCTTAATGGCTTTCTAAGACCTTTATAGCGAATGGGATTGACTTGAACTGGCCAGGTCCAGGAAGGACCCCTAAGGGGATAGCCAAAATCACTATGTCAGTTGGGTCTCATCCTACCGTACAGGGTCCCACTAATAATTTTGCTATAAAGACGCCTTGTCCGAGAAGTGTTAGCGGAGGAGGCCTGAAAGTCCTTATCCTCAGAATGTCCTGCTTGCAAGGTTGGCCCTGGTCAGGCATATGGGAGCTCGGATGTCGGGAGTTTCCAGCACCCTGATACAAGTGGCTCCCTCTTCCTTTTTATGTAAACAATAGGGCTTCTGCCAAAGACCTGCTCCAGGGAGGATGTACCATTTGCATCAGGCCAGAAAGGAGACTTCGGCATGACAAGTCCCAATAAAAACTCTGTAACCAAGTCTCTCATTAGTTGCCCTGCCTGACAGGCATTTCAAATGTATTGTCACACTGGGCTGCTTTGTGATGTCACTAGAGGGGACCCTGTACCTGTTCTCCTTAGTGCTTGGCCTCAGGCACCTATCTCCTGGGCTGACCCTGCATTATTCTTGTGCTGCAATAAATCACAGCCATGAGCATGACCTAACGCTGAATCCTAGGAATCCTCCTAGACCTCATGAATGGAATTAGTGCCCTTATAACAGAGGCTCCAGAGAGCTCCCTGGACTCTTCCACCACCAGAGGACACGTGAAAAGACAGCTGTCTATGAACCAGGAAGCTGGCCTTCAACAGATACCAAATCTATCTGTGCCTTGATCTTGGACTTCCCAGCTTCCAGAACTGTGACAAATAAGTGTTTACTGGTTATAAGCCCCCCCCCCCCAGTCTGTGGTATTTTTGCTACAGCAGCCCCAGCTGACTAAAACAGGAACTCCCAAACACACCCAGTATCAAATAATTTAATATTCTACAACATTCATTTTTTTAAATGTACCACTGAGCACCCGTTGCATGCAAAAACCTTTACAAAGACCTTTAAACACATACATCAGCTCTGTGAAGCAGACGTTATGAAAACTGGTTCCCAGAAGGGGAAAGGCAGAATGGTCCACGAGTAATGCCACACAAATGCCGAACACTTGCGCATCTGTGACACGCACCTTACTCACAGCTGTTTTGTTACTGTAACTGCTGTTTCCCAGTGTGATACGGAGATAAGCTCGGTTTCGCTTGGCACTATGGGGAAGTGCCAACAGAAGCACCCTACTCCGTGCTTACATCCTTACGTGGCTCTTTCATTTAGTACAACCGATTAAGGTTACAGCGACATGGGTCCTTGTACCTGAAGGCACTAGAGCTAGAGCACCAAACAAAAAAATTCTCCACCTCGTGGATCTTAAATTCTTTTGGAGGAAAACAACACACAAGCAAATCAAATATAAGTAGGAAGAAAAATGTGGCACCATGAGGGGGTCAGGAGGGGGCTATGTGTCACTGTGTGTGTATTTGCGTACATGTTGATATTGACATAGACAAATGTGAATGACTGGCTGCAAGGTAAAGAACAATAAAATAACCCATTGAAATAACACTACAAATTGATACCTAAATTGTTTAAAATATATATGTATATCAAATAGACGTATATGTGTATCTATGTATGATTCTACATATTGGTTACATACATCAGAGTGAGGGGGCCTATCACGGGGGTTCAGTTCAAGTGGGGCAGCTGGTGTGAAAGCATGTTCTACATTTAGGGCTGAATTTCATCTCACAGATAATTATTTTTTAATATTTCTGGTGACTGTACAAATGTCATATGCATTTCCTACACTGATGTTGTATTATAAAAGAGAAAACTCTAAAATCAATTTATATACCTTGCCTGTCATCATCTTAGGAGTTGCTAGGAACTATTTAATAATATTCAAGACATATATCTTACATTGGAGAACAGATGGTAACATGTGTGACCCAATAAAGGAAAACTGATAACACAATGTTCAAAAAATAACAAAGAACATTGAAATGGTATGATGTTGTTTTCTCCAAAACAATTAGGGACAAAGCAAATATGCTCAGGACCCCTTTTCTGCTCAACATTACATTATATTAGAGCCAATCTAGACCCAGCAGAAAACAAATGTACAAGAACTAAAAAAGAAAAAAGCCTTGTCTTTATGCCTACCTCTGTCAATTGTACATGTAGGACATGAACAGAACAAAAAAAAAAAAATCACAGAATAAGATTTTTAAGAAAAATCCGGGGTAAAAATTCAATTTAAAAATACAGTTCATTACCATTTCAATTAATGGAAAGTTGGAAAATTTACTTTAAAATGACAATGCATATACTATGGTAAAAAAAATCAAAATTTAATTAGTACTAAACAAGTCTAAAGAAGGCTATAAAAAAAAACAAATGGAAGAGTTGTAAAACAGTAAGAAATGTAACAAAGTAAAATGAAATGCATGGAGAGAAGGCACATGTCCTTAAAAAGGAGGACTCGGCATTACCAAGGTATCAGCTCTTCCAAAAGAGACCTAAAGTTTTCATAAAATTGCATTACATCTCCAAACAAGATTTTTTTCCTCAGGACTTGAAAAATACTAATTTTACAAATCTAACAGGAAAAACAAATATCCAAAAAGCCCAAATGTTCTGAAGAACAAGGGAGGGGCCCACCTATCACAAATCAAGAATTTTAAAGCCAGTAAATCCTGATGGAATTAGCAGAGGCCTGGACAACTAAATCCACTGAAAGGAGCATTTTTGAAGTGGGACCTTGTTTGTTAATTCACGACAGGGCAGCCAAGGGCAGGTCAGTGACAGGAATGACAAATATGTCAGACAGTAACGAAAAGTTATCTGAACAAAGTCGCTTTACCCCCACCTCTTCCTTAGATAGTATCAACTTACTGTAGGTTAAAGTAAAGGGTATTACAGATAATAGCAAACAGCAGTTTACCCACAGTCACAAATTCTGCCCCCTGCCAAGGAAAAGAACTGATATTTTGGTGAATCTCTATAATTCACAGGTTCACCTACTACGCTTTGTAGAAATGTATTCATTTCTCTGCTGCCGTGTCAGGAGGTTTATCCCTGTTGCTCTAACATTCCTTTCCCCAGCAGGAATTTCAAGGCTAAACTCGGGAATTCCACTGCTTATCGCCCAAAGGCACAGACCTGAGAAATGAGCTACACACACGGGGGGGGGGGGGGGGGGAGGGGGATCTGAAAAGAAGGTTTAACAAAACCTTTTTTGTTAAAGACAAAAAGGTTTAACAAAAAAGAAAGACACTTTCTTTTTTCCCCCCTGAAACTCACGTCTTAGAAAATATTTGAACTTTCCTGCTCTATTAATTAAAAAGTATTTTAACTTTAGCGAAAAACTGACGCTCCAACGAGTGAATACATCTTTTCAAGGTGACAAACCCAGGGAGGGGCAGGGCTGAACTGGAACACAGACATAGCTGACTCCAGACTCCGGGGTCCAGGGCAGACTTCCCACCACGTCGGAGACCCCGCACCACGGCACTCTGACCCGCTTCCTGCACAAAGGACACAGGCTGGTGTCCTGCTGTGAGTCTCAAGTGCAGGCGGCTCCTGAGAGGTGGGTGGCCTTTCCCAGTCTTCTGCGTTAGTTTCTCTGCCTTCAGGAGCCCGAATCATTTCCATCTTTTCTCCTCAACACCAGAATCCAGTCAGCTGACAACCCTGTCCCTCCAAGAAGTAATAATTGAGGTCGCGCGGTCGGTTAGAGACCGAGGACGTACCAGGGGGATCCGTCCCAATGGCTCCCCCAGCTAGGTCTCCCCAGATTCCCCGCCCACCCCGCAGACTGGCCGCTGTTAGGAGCCGATCAGGACTGATACTCGCTCCCCTCCCCGTGGATGTAGCTGTGGGCATCTGAGTCGCCCAACTCTGAGGTCCTAAGACCCCGGACCCCACGCACGGGCCAGACTGCACGTCAGGCTCCACCCGGGGCCAAAGCAGAAAAACTAGGGTCGAAACCCTGGGGGGCGCGGGGAGCCCCGGCCCACGGCCGCTTCCAGCGAATTCTGCCTGGCTCGAACCAGACCCGGCCCTGCGCACTCACCATCTCCGGGCTCTCAAAGGGTCCTCCGGGCGGTACAGGAACTAGAGAGTTATGGGTTCCAGGCACCTGGGCCTGGTGCCGGGCAGGTGCGTAGCAACACCTCGATCGGCCAAAAGCGACGTCCACTCCTTTCCGCGGAGTTTCTGATTGGACACTGTTGGGAATCCGAAATCTTGATTGGACATCTTTTTCGAGCACTCCGAGGTCTAGGGCTTCTGATTGGGCCATTTCCAGAGACCCGCCTCTGTCTCCTTGACTTCCAGGCACACCGCCCTGAATCCTTGAGTGGACAGTGCTCTAACCCGCCCCCTGTATCATGAGTGACAGGCAGTCCGGACGCTTAGCTGACCACTGCCCCGGACGTTGGCTCCAACCCTCTCCCTGTCTGGCGTACTGGCATCTGTTCACACTTAGGCAGCCACGTTTGGGTGCGCACCCTGGACCGGGAAGTTCTGACTCAGTTTCCTCGCGGAGCGCCCTCTGTCCGCACACTGGACGGAACAGGAGGGCCTTATGATCCGGGTCAGCCCAGGGCGAAGCGCCGTTGATCTGTGCCCTCTATTTAAAAACTCTCAACTGTGACGTCTTAGAGTGCACCGTAGGATCCCGCTTGGTTTTGATGTGTGACTTTTGACAATAGGAGGCCCCGCCCTCTGCCCCATTCCCTCATAATGGGGCTTGAGGTCAGCACTCAGAGGGACCCCTGCTTTTACCCCCAAAGTGGGAAGTGGGACCCTGAAGCCCCAGCCTGTACACAGGGCTCCTCTTAGCACAGGAATAGGTGAGATGTTAGAATTCTCAGTGTGTATGTACTGCAAGGAAGTCTATGTCAGATCAGGGTTTCAGTGTATTCCCAGAGAATTCTGAAAATGAAAAGTGTCTGATAGTGGACCTCAGAATGAATGTACCTAATACCACTAAATTGTACACTTAAAAATGGTTGAGATGGGATTTCTGGCCAAGATGGAGGCATAGGTAAACACACTGTGCCTCCTCACAAAAGCAAAATTAAGAACAAAAATTTAGAAACAAAAAACAATCAGAACTGACAGAAAATTTAACTATATAGAAGTCCTGCAACCATTCATCCAGACCAATAAGCCAGGTGAAAATGGGCATTGAGATATACCACGCAACCCAGGGCCCCAGTGCTGGAAAATAAAGCCTGAAATCACCGATTGAAAACACTTATTGGGGTTGAGGTGCCGGGAGAGACTCCCAGCCTCATAGGAGAACTCGTTGGGAGAGACCCACAGGGTCCTAGAACATACGCAAGCCCACCCACCCGGGAACCAGCACCAGAAGGACCCAATTTGCTTGTGGGAAGTAACAGAGGGGACTGAAATCTGAGAGAGAGCAGAGCAAGTGCCATTGTTCCCTCTCAGGCCCTGCCCCCACATACAGTGTCACATCTCTGGGTTACACCACCCCAATGAACACCTAAGGTTCTGCCCCTCACTATGTAACAAGCAAGAGCAGACCCCCCCAAAAAAAAATGGCTCAGATAGAAGAGCAGATTAAAGCCCCAGAGCCAATATCTCTTGGATCTAAGCATCCAAGAGATAGCCAACCTATCAGATGCACAGTTCAAAGCACTGGTGATTAGGATGCTCACAGAATTGGTTGATTTTGGTCGCAAATTAGATGAAAAAATGAAGGTTACACTAAATGTAATGAAGGAAAATGCACAGGGAACCAATAGTGATGGAAAGAAAACTGGAACTGAAATCAATGGAGCGGACCAGAAGGAAGAAAGAAACAACCAAACAGAAAAAAATGAAAAAACAAGAATTCAAAAAATAAGGAGAAGCTTAGGAACCTCCAGGACATCTTTGAAAGTTCCAACATCCGAATTATAGGGGTACCAGAAAGGAAAGAGGAAGAGAAAGAAACAAGTGGAAAACTTATTTGAACAAATAATAAAGGAGAATTTCCCCAATCTGGCAAAGGAAATAGACTTCCAGGAAGTCCAGGAAGCTTAGAGAGTCCCAAAGAAGGTGGACCCAAAGAGGAACATTTTAAGGCACATCATAATTACATTATCCAATATTAAAATGAAGAAGAGAATTCTAGAAGTAGCAAGAGATAAGGGGACAGTCACCTACAAAGGAGTTCCCATCAGATTGTCAGCTGATTTCTCAAAAGAGAACTTTCAGGCAAGAAGGGGCTGGAAAGAAGTATTCCAAGTCATGAAAGGCAAAGACCTACATCCAAGATTGCTCTATCCAGCAAAGCTTTCATTTAGAATGGGAAGGGCAGATAAAGTACTTCTCAGATAAGGTCAAGTTCAAGGAGTTCATCATCACCAAGCCCTTATTATGTGAAATGTTAAAAAGGACTTATCTAAGAGAAGGAAGATAAAAAACATGAACAATAAAAAGACAGCAAACTCGCAGTTATTAACAACCACACCTAAAACAAAAGTGAACTAAGCAAACCACTAGAACAGGAACAGAACTTAAGAAATGGAGATCACATGGAGGTTGGCAATAGGAGAGTGAGAGGAGGAGAGAGGAGGAAAAGATACAAAAAATAAGTAGCATAGATGGTAGGTAAAAAATAGACAGGGGTCCCTGGTTGGTGTAGCTCAGTGGATTGAGCATGGGCCTGTGAACCAAAGGGTCACCAGTTCGATTCCCAGTCAGGCCACATGCCTGGGTTGCAGGCCAGGTCCCCAGTAGGGGACACATGAGAGGCAACCACGCACTGATGTTTCTCTCTCACTCCTTCTCCTTCCCTTCCCCTCTATCTAAAAGTAAATAAATAAAATATTTAAAAAGAAAATAGACAGGGGGAGGTCAAGAATAGTATGAAAAATGTAGAAGCTAAAGAACTTATGACACATGAACATGAACTAAAGAGGGAGAATGTGGGTGGGAGGGGGTGTGCAGGGTGGAAGGTAATGAAGAAGGGAAAATGGGATAGCTGTAATAGCATAATCAATAAAATATACTTAAAAAAAGAAAAAAACAGTTAAGATGGTAAACTCTATTGGGTGTATTTTACCATTTATTTAAGTTTTGCTTTTTTAAAAGGCTCTGATATTCATAAGGCAATCAGATTTCTATTTTAACTAATATAAAATAACAAAAAAACCATATATATTTGGGATAGACCTGAAAACTCTTAATATACTTAATAGATGGAGGCTAATGCATGTAATATGCCTATTCCTGTTAGAAAACATTCTCTCCTTTGAGATTATGTGGTCATCCAAACCCTGATATCACTTGCCATTTTATTTACAAACAAAATTTTATATTTAAAAAATTTTAATGTATAGATTTGAGAGAGAGAAACTGATTTGTCATTCCACCCATTCATGCACTCACAGGTTGGTTCCTGCATGTTCCCTGACTGGGGATCAAACCCTCCAACCTGAAACTCTTGTGCATTGGGACAACATTCCAACTAACTGAGCGACTGGCCAGGGCACAAAAAGAATTTTAAAGATTCCTGTCTGTAGTTTCCAGAAGATTTGATATAATTTCATATAAATTAGTGTTCAGGATATTAACACAATAAAAAGCTTTGAGTTAAAAAATAAACCACTCATTGGACTTATAAACTATTAAAAAATAAAATATGGCTATATTCATTTCTTTGTTTAATATGCATTACTAATTATTGCCAAATTGCAAATAATCAGCATGGAATTTATTAAAAGCTGGCCCACAGACTGGGTCCTGGCACTGATTGTAGAGAACCCTGTTGCTTGGTGTAGAAATGTTACTTAGCCTCCATGTGGAAAACCAGTGGGGATCCAGTGGCATGCAGGACCATACTCATGGAAAGGTTTTCCTGTGGAGAATCAGGTCTGCGTTGTATCTAGGCTGCTATGAGACTTGCTTTTGTTAAAACTCCTTCACCCTGAATCGAGGCAGAAAGTGCCTACTGTAACTTCCTAAAGTCTGTGCTAAACCTCCCCAGTATGGAGTGGGACCAGTTCAACCACTTTTGCCCCTGGTCTGCAACATTCTTCTCTTTGAAGTAATTAGCAACATTCTTTCCTTTATTATCTGTAAAAGGTAATCACCTACAGCAAACCTGTGCATAGTAAATGAGGACTACCCTCATGTAAGGTACCCAGAGGAGCAATAAAAGCGTGTCCAGGTGGGGGCCAGGTCTCTCTCTCTCATTCTCTCTATCAGAGAGTGGCCATGCCATCCCTTTTTCTCCACAGGACTTTTGTTGTCCATGTGTATTTGTTCACTAGCAGCCACAACATACACGGATCCTGCAAGCCAGGATCTGCCTCATCTGGTGCCCAGAAAAAGGAACCAGGACTACAAGCCATGGTTGTGGTCAACACACCAACTTGGTTGGAGTGCGAGCATCAACTCAGGTAAGGGTAGACAACACTGAGTGCTTTTCAGGAAAGTCGTAGGGCATGTTGGATTTCAGAGAAAAAGAAACAGCATGGCCACTCTCTGAGAGAGAGAGAGAGAGGGCGAGAGGGCCAGAGGCCCCTGGCCCTTGCCTGGACAAGCTTTTATTGCTTTTCTGGGTACATGGAGGGTGGTCCTCATTTACTATGCACAGGTTCACTGCAGGGGATTACCTTTTACAGATAACAAACAAAATAATGTTGCTAATTACTTCAAAGAGAAGAATGTTGCAGACCAGGGGCAAAAGTGGTTGAACTGGTCCCACTCCATACTAGGGAGGTTTAGCACAGACTTTAGGAAGTTACAGTAAGCACTTTCTGCCTCAATTCAGGGTGAGGGAGTTTTAACAAAAGCAAGTCTCATAGCAGCCTAGATACAATGCAGGCCTTATTCTCCACAGGAAAACCTCTCCATGAGTGTGGTCCTGCATGCCACTGGGTCCCCAGTGGTTTTCCATGTGGAGGTTGAGCTACATTTCCACCCTATGAGAAACGGTTTCCTACAACGGACATCTAGTACTCCACTCTGCTTACCATCATGTGTTCAGAGATCTAGCTAGGAGCCTCACCCTTAAGGAACATGTCACATCATTTATTAAGGTAAAAAAAATGAGGCTGGTCTCTGCATTCATTGCCACAAGAGAAGAGAGTAGCAACTATGGCAATCCGTGGGGAAAGAAGTGTGATTAAAGATATTTGGACCTCACTGGAATGTTAGTCATGCAACAGAAAA